AATGGTGTTCCAATAAGAGATTATTGGTCAAATTGTCACAGAATGTTCTTTAGATAAAAATCTATATAAAAAACGAAAAAAAACTATTTTTGATTGAAATTCACAAATAAACTGCATCTCTACCTTAAGAGTAAAATTAAAAAAAAACATATTTACGCCACTTTTATAGCTTCTTAAAAACAGAAAAAAAATGTACCTTTGAAGATCAACTTTATTGTTTTGGTACATGTAACAAACTCATATAATCATTATAAAAAAAATATGTAAAATAAATGCTCTTTGAATTTATGAAATCCACTCAACATAATAGTTAACCCTTTGAGCACCAATTTGTTTTCTCACTTATATTGGGGTAAAATGTTTCACTGAATTCAATTTAAATGATGAACCAAAAAGACAAAATGAGACATTGCTTCGAGTTTATGATACAAAATACTTTATTTTCGCTATTTTCGCTGTAGGAATGATTCAGTGAAAATAAAATCCAGCATATGTACCTTTTTTCCTATATTTTACATTCAGTTCGTCAGAAAGTGAAAATTAATTCCAGCTAAAATAAAGTATTTTACAGTACTCCAAGTCATGCATGCCCTCAAGAGATTCTGTGACATTAAAATGATGATGTTAATAAAACTGATAAATATGTTTATTTAGTTGTGTAGTAGTTGGTCATCTAAAATATAGTAAAATCTCTCAAAAGCATTATCTGTAGATCAAGCAATATCAACTTACTTTGAACAGCCTTCTGGTTGTAGAAGGAAAGGTATACTAGTTGTTTGAAGATCTCATCAAGAACCACAAAATATGATTCTGTGTTCTCAGACCTCATCAAAACCCCAGAAAATACATGTAGGAGTTATGTTATCAGACCTCTTCAAAACCCCACAAAATAGGATTTCTGTTTTCAGATCTCTTCAAAACCCCACAAAATAGGATTTCTGTTTTCAGATCTCTTCAAAACCCCACAAAATAGGATTTCTGTTTTCAGATCTCTTCAAAACCCCACAAAATAGGATTTTTCTTTTCAGACCTTTTCAAGACCCCACAAAATATGATTTCTGTTTTCACACCTCTTCAAAACCCCATAAAATAGGATTTCTGTTTTTTTATGACATGAAAAACTATTTCTGTTGCATATATTAGTAATAATAATTTAATAATAATAATTTTATTAACACTTTACACATTCCCCGGAGGGATTGGCAATGGTTACAAAAGTTTAAGAAGGAATACAAGGTTACAAAAATGTAAATAGATAAAATAAAACAAACTAAGCTAATACATTACAGAGAATAAAAAAATATTAGGAATAAATTATAATACTACAATAAACAGAAAACAAAACGCAAAACTTAAACTGTGAAAGAAGATTGTCACTGGGGTTGCTGTCTTATTTCAAAACACTTCTTTAGTGGTGTGAGACCACTGATGTTTAGCAAGGCTATGAATTGTGTCTTTGGTGGCAAATATTAGTGACACATCCATTGTATGCGAAGAAAAGAAATCTCAAATAAGGGAAATTTTGAATGTCGCAATGAATGAATTGTAAGACAACTTTTTATGGAATAGTAAAGTCTATTGTTTTATTGTAACATTTTTTTTTCAGGAGGCTACAGACACGTTAAGTGGAAGTAACACAAATTTGGTAGATGAGAAAACAGAAACATTTAACCCTCAAGACCAGGAAGCGGTGAGTCTTTTCTGCAACTTCCTAATATTTGTTTTGAACACATGAAATTTTATTGAGAAAATCGGTGGTGTGAAAAACTGTTAGTCTGAGATGCGAAACGTGCAAACTTTTATTGGCAGACTGTCTATTTAGTCTACTGTTGGATCTGTACTTTATAGCAAATTAAGTAGGAGTGCACTTACATTCAACATTATTTTTTGGACATGACTGGACCAATTTGAGGAGAACAAGGACAAGTCAATTTATATTTGTCAGACTATAGACATTTTTGTTACCAAAAACATGTTAGTATATCATCCATTTCTCATGTGTACTTGCTTTGATTTCAACACATATGATTTGTTTCGTTATTTAATTTAATTTTATGTTTCCAAAAACATTGTATGAAGTAAAAATTCAGAGAATATGGTAATTGCCACGGAAACGTAATTAGCATACACTAAAAGTAGGTCGGCTTTTGAGTACAATGGTGTGATGGTGTCATAGTGGCACTTTCTGTGGACTGTGAGAAATCCATGAATGTCATTAGGTAATTCTGTTGTTATGTGATCCAAATATAGTGTAGAAAACGTTATGTGGTTAAGTGAGATAATAATATCATGTTCATTTAAATTTCTTGTTTTTTTGAGTATCACTAGATATGCTCAAGCATTCACATCATGTGTATACATTAGGATGCTTGAAAATAAATTCCTTCTGCTTTAATCTCTATAGGAGCCAGATCAGCTATATGGGAACGTTGATGAGATGGGAAATTTGACAAATATTCCCGAAGATCAAACTGCTAGGAGATTTATTCCAACACCATTAAATGAACAACATAAATGGAATAATAATACCGAAACAGAGCATCCTTGTTCGAGAGGAGACAAGCCAACACAAATCATAGATGATCGAACCTACCAAGCCCCAGAGTTTGTGCCTGAGGAAGGAGAGATGTATGAGGCACCAAATCCAATGGAAGAAGAGGAATACACTCCGCCTCAACCATATGTTGCTGAGGAATATGTGGATCTTGAAACACCGACGATGCCCAAACCAGCTGCTGACGATGAAGAGCCTTTGTACCAGAATGTAAATGTGAAATATAAGAATAAGATTAAACCACCTGTGAATGTGCCACGGAACAAAAAAAGGAATATTGTGCTACAGAATACACAAGTTAGTGAACACAGAAATGGAGACGACTTGCCAACTAGTCCTCCACCTCAGCCCCCTCAACAAGAAACAAAGACAAAATTTAAAAAACCAGTTGTTGGAACAAATACACTTGAAAATATTGAAATGACAAAATTTAAACCTAAGAACAATGATATTCCAAGGAAATGGGTAAATCCACCTTTGGAAACAAAGAAAGGGTTGACAGAGCCTGAAAATCCGCCGACCCCACCGGTTCGTATTACCAGTGAACTTAACCCCCCGCCTCCAATTAAGAAGCCTGTAAATTTGCCAAAAATTGATTCCTCCCCACCGGCATCACCTCCTCCACCCCCTCCGGTCGAGAAAGAAGAAACCATCCATAAAAAGAAGCCGCCAGGAAAGTTGGCTTCCCCAACATGGCTTACTGCTAATGAGAACAAATCCCCTGTTAAAAAACAGCCAGGCAAAGTGGGTGTGCATCCATTAGCACAACAGTTGGAAGAGAAACCAGTCAGGAAACCAAAACCTGAAGTAAACATAGCACATGGTAAAGTGAAAGGGACTGCAAAAGATTTGAACATTCCAGTAGCTGCACTTTCGCCAAAACAACCACCACCACCACAACAACAAAAACAACCGAATGTAAAGGGAAAAAAGAAAGTTGAGCCAAAACCAAAGCCTGTAATGAAGAAAAATCAAATAAAACTCACCCCAGCTGGACTTTTCACTCAAAAGAACAAGATGCATAACCCTGAACCAGGTAAGTTTATTTTTAACAATAATTCTGTTGTTTTCCTTGCAACAAACAAGTCGCTGTAAAAAACAGTTCACATGGACATATTGCCATATCAATGCCTTGACATTTATAATCATATAAAATCACCAAGATTATGTTTAAAAATGTACATGTACCTGGTCAAAAAGAAATGTGATTTTTTTGAGTTGCTAAAAACAAAATGGCTTCTATTTTGTTCTTTTCAATGATCGCCACATCAAGAACAAAATTAAATTAATTGAGGAATAAGATTGCTTGTATTTTTCTTGTCAAATATTGCTTGCTTGATAGATAAGATATGTTGCTATACTCTTACTTTATTGGAAAAAAATATTGCAAAATCACAACGAATTTAAAAAAAAAAAAAAAAAAAATATTATCTAAAATATTGATTGAGTTAGGAAGATTTTACTGTAAATATCCTTCCATGAACATTTTGTTAACTAATTAACAAGCTAGTGCAAAGAAGGAACCAAGGAACCACACAATTTAATTTTAATTTTTTCAGTAGCTTTAATGAAGAGCTGCTACAATTGTTTTATGTTCTCATCCTAGTAAGATATGTTTTATATTCAGAAGAAGATGACGACATGTATCATGTACCTGAAGACCCAACTGATGATGTATATGATGATGGAATGTCTTCACAAAACCATCAACGAAAACAATTACCACCAAAACCTAGAGCCCAATACCCAGTAAAACAATACATGCCAGATACTATTGTAGAACCTGGTGAAGAAGATTATGAAGTTTTTGACAATCGGGAACCAGCAATTCCACCTCGAGTGTCATCAGTATCCCCGAAAAATAAAAACGCGCTACAAGACTGGGGAGAGAATTATGAAGTAATGGAGGAACCACCAACAAGGTTACCACGGAAACCGCTTCCACCCACAAAACCATCAGCACCTATAGAGGAGGAACAAGAAACATATGAAGTCACTGATGGAAATCAGCTATGGGATGACACTTATGAAGAGGTTTCCCCAATGGATAAGAAACCGCAAAATGTTGGCAGAAAAGACGTGTACCACAACTTGCCAAATGTGGGGAGAGGCCAGAGTGACATGGTGTACCGGAACTTGCCAGGATCAAATGCCCAGACAAGTCACCCAGAAGGTGGATATGTCAGTATGAAATACACTGGTAAATAATAACAGTTTGAAACATATACTGGTATATATCTTAGGATATATTAAAGATCACTGTAATAGACCACTTGCGACCACTGTGCATGTAATATTTGTTCTGATCATGTTATAGCACCTTCAGAGTAGCTACACCAAAAAATGTAACAAGAGACTGCAGATTTGTTCTCAATTCTATGTTCTTTCAAATCTAAATTTTACCCGCCAGGTATAATTGATATATTGAGGACTACAGTGATTTTAATTCCTACGAGATATGAACAAGGATGAACAAAAATGGCAGATTCAATGATGTAATCTGACAAAAATACTGAATGACACTGAAACCAACAAATGGTGTGGGCCCTGCATACACTCAATAAGAAACAATGCTGTATCAAACTCAAGATATCAAATGAACAGTAACCATACAAGTTGCAGATTTGTATGAGTTATGGATATCGAGTCGCGAACATCGAGTTACGAAAAAAAAAACAAGTTACATCAATGACCACGTCCATATTTTAGAAACCTTGTTCACTTTTGCGAAACCATGCCCAAAATTGTAATTCAATTTTCAATTAACAGTTAACAGAACTTTGAGTTACAAGCAACATATATTTTTGTTTTTGTTGAATGTCCACATTTAGTAACTCAAGCTTTAATTAACAGTTAACCTAACTTTGAGTTACGATTTTTTGGAAACTTTTGGGCAAAATTGTTGTAGGCCACAATTAGCTTATCTGTGAAATAGCGGCAATCCCTAAGAAGGATATGATAACAACCAGAAAATCTCGTCAAAGCTAATAATACAAGGCATGCAGCATGGACACCAAGGCCCTTCCAGGCAATGATGGTAAACAAGGGTTCAGCAGTAATTTACTAACTGAGAACTACATGTATGCTGACATATAAAGAGTGATGTTTTTAATTAGTTTGTTCCTAATAACCGTTTCACCACCAGACTTTCTCACCCAATTTTTGCTGCACTTTTTTTCTTATATTCTCTAATATTTCTGGAAATGAGCCCTAATTTTGAAGCCAACAGACACAATTTGAGTCAATTCTCAGTTTGTACTAAAAAAAATTGGCTATTTTGTCCCAATCTTCTGAAGGGAAGGGTAGAGTATAAACAAGATTGTGTGAATTTGTGATGAAAAGAGAGAACTGGTGGTGAAAGGTTTACATGTACTGTGGCTGTTATTATATGTAATACATGTATATTTATTTATTGGTCCGCCAACTTTTTTCAAACAGTACAAAGTGATGTAGTGTATATTTATAATGCAATTACTGATTCATGATACAAATGTGGTGCATGAAATTTTCAGGCACATTTTTAATCAATAATGTAAAATTAATTTTAGAAATTAAAATTAATTTATTTTTAGTCAGAAATGTTTGGATCACTGGTAATAAATCCAGCACCATAATAATCAGCACCAATACATAAAGACAAAATATATAACAAACATTCATTCACTGGATTGTACACAAATTGAATTGACCAATCAAAATAGTGATTTAACTTCATGATATGTGTGTATTAAAACATATATGCATGCACCAGTATTTCCAATTAATTTTAATTAATCAGCATGGTATTCAATTGTATACAAATTAAATGAACTTCTAAGTATATTTATTACAAATATTCATTTACAGCTGTGGTTTTATTGCATGTAAATTTGTCAGTCTTTTTTTTTTAATTGGGATGGTTTAGTAGTCATGTAACTAAAGCCATGTCTAATTGCAATATTTAGGGTTAGAGGCATTGAGTTTTTCGGAACATGGACATATTGTTCACAAAAACTAAATTCTGTACATGGCATTTTTTAAGTTTAAATGTTTTAACAAGAAACAATTTAGGTATATTACCAGGGTGTATGGTCAATATTATGCAGGTATAATGAGGAAAGTACTTCTAAATTTGACCAGTTCAGTTTTGTGAAAGATGACAATTGACCTAGGGGTCAAAGGTCAACTTTGGCTGTTTCATCGCACTGCTTATCATTCATGTAGAGTATTAAAAGTTTTGAAATAAATTCAAAATATACTCAGACAACAATATTAATTGTAAAATCCCTGCATAAAAATAAGAAATCAATGTCAGGATAGTACTTGTAGGCGAGTATGTAGCAAACCCAAATTTTATTGCCGGCCATTATTTGATACCAAATAACAGGAAAGCACAGAAACCGTTGAGTCTAGTACCAAAAGCAAATTCCTGTTTGAAAATTGCTAATTCTTTTTATGAACTGTTTAGTTGCATGTTTTGTGACTACGATATACCAATATTTGTACTTTATATATAACAATAATTAAGTCAAAATAAATTTCATGGTGTGATGAACTGATTCACTCAAAATAGGATTTACCATAAGCATAACCCCATGAGGCCTTATTTGGTAATTTTCCACAAATAAGTAATGTAATGCAGAGAACGCTGCTTTTTTTAAAAAAAAACCCAGAATACTGTAAAATATTTTTTTTCACTGACATTTAATTTCACTATTTTCATATTTTGAGTGATTTCACTAGGTTCACAAACTTGGCAGGGAAACCATGAGTTCTATTGTTATTCTACAAGTTCACATAGATTTAATTTGGTAAATTTTACTTACCAGTATCAGTGAAAATTGAGAAATTACAAACCAACAAACAAATACCCCTGGTACATGTAATGCAATTACTAATTTTATATATAGTTTGTCAGTGACATCTTGATTGAACATCTCCATGCATCAGTGTAAAAATTAAATGAATGTTTTTTATTTGTATTCTATTCAGTTTTGTATTAAATGGGTGATGTATCATGTTGCATATTTAATTGTGTTCGAACAGTTTCTTTTTTTTAAAAAGGAATTACAAAAGTTGATATAACATAGTTATTTATTTTCACATTGATACCAAAAATAGTGATTTTAAAGCATGGTGGTTGTTGCACAGCGAGTGTTCGAATTTCATGTAAATAAAAATGTATTTTATACACATTGTATACGTCGCTATGAGTCCCAAATCGAACAGGACGCGGCACGACGACTGCCACCTTTTAAGCATTGTATTACAGTGAAAACCACCAAGATTTTGTCATTGAGGTCGCTCCAATCCGATTAAAATTTGATGTAGTGTACAGGCTTTAATTATTTTGCTTATAAATTTATTTTTATTTCATTTTTTATTACTTTTGTTATTAATGCCTTTTTATTTTATTATTTTACTTTGATTTTGATTTTGTGATTTTTTTTTAATTCCGTCATACAGTGGGGATTTCTTAAACTTTAAAAAAAAAACTTGTAGAAAGGAATAAAAACAAATATATTAGCAAATAAAACAATAAACAAACAATAATTTTACTAAAATAATAAAGAAAGAAATATAAACATATCCCCAGAAGGATCTTATTTTAATCAGATTGAGGTCTCTCTGGATGTTGTAAGGTTAAAACAACTGATTATCTATTTTGCTTTAAAATATTGTCGACTACAATGCTTTCAGAAACGCAGTTTACATATTTATAACCACCGGTAGGTCATAATATATTTCCCAAACATTTCATTAAAATCTAAGTGAGGCATCTAGATTGGCTATAATGATTCACACGGTGTTCCAGATTCTAGGTACAAATGACAATTACATACTTGTGCAGACTGGGTTGTCCCTTTCAGCGGCCATTCTGTCTGGTCAACAGTGGTTTTCAAATTTTTAAAAGTTTTACCATATTTATCCAGGTAAGAGCCCATGCCCGGGCAATCGTCCACTCACCCAAAAAAACTGTAAATTTTGTAAACTGCTTTTCTGAAATCACAGTACATGTACCTGCACCGCACTGTGAACAGCGGATACAAAAACTAAAAGTTACATGCATGTCATGTCATAAAACAGTTTAGAAGGAAAAATTGAGGTATAATATTGGAGCAAGTATTCATTCGTGGTGACATCACAGTGAATGTTGTTGGGTCAACATCAGTTTTCAAATTTATATTAAAATGTTTTATGTTTATAAACCTTAAATTTTGTAAATGGCATTTCTGAAAACGCTTCACCTGTATAGCTTTATGTCATCACAAATTTTAATACTGTAAAAATAATTAATTTTCACTGAAAATACTTTTTAGGTGTTTTGTATGGAATTTATTTTCACTGATTTTTGACGAGTTGAATGTAAATTATAGAAAAAATGTATATTTGCACTGAATTATTCCTTCAGTGAAAATTAATTCCAAGCGAAAATAAAGTATTTTACAGTACATTATGTCTATGTGTATATATTGGAACTGTACGACAGGATTTGTATGTACTGAACAACAATTTGAAACAAAGTTAGTTGTAATCTGACAAAATCCATAGCATCCTCAATGACAAAAGCTTGGTAGTTTTCACTGTGACTTTCACAGGTACTAAAAGTTTTCCATTTTGTTTCGTTGGTGGTCTTGGACTATAATGTGAAATATTTGATGATATAAACTTGCATTTCAAGACCATTTCTATATGTGTACAATATTTGCTCCATTTCAAGTGTATCTCTAATAGAGGTACCGGTAGCACATATAAACCCTAAATCATATTTGTTGTATACTGAATGATTGAAATTTTACTTATTTTGTCTTAAAACAACTCTTAATTTTATGTAAAGTGCATGTGCTATAATATAGCAAATACGGTAACTTGATTGAGATCTTGGGATAATTATGTAAAATTGTTTTATATGCAAATTCAGATAAATATTTGAGCATTTTTTTATTTAAATATACTCCATCCTGCAGTAATTTAGAAACACTATTCGAAATGAAATTTTAACAAATACTTAAATAGAAAGCTCAAATGATGAACATTTGGACACACCAGAATTCACAATTACTCCTTGGTATCAATGTGCATAAATCATGGTGTTTTATTGTCAGGAATGAGTCAGGAATTTACATGTCAAAACAGAATTACATATACACTGATATTAGAAATTTTCTAACTTTTCAAGACAGTTGCATTGTACTTGTATACTAATAATAATTTTGTTATATTTTTTAAAACAATTTTTATGAATTTATTAATCATATAACTTATTCAGATTTCATAATGTAACTAGCTGTATAAACTTTTAAACTATATATTACAATCTTGTTACAATATAAGCGGAATATAATAAATAAAATGTTATCTACCAATAATAATATTCACACACTATTTTAATACACAAAATGAAATAACCATGGAAACATGATTTTATTTCCACCATGCATTGTTCACTATGACATCATTGTCTAAACGGCCGACTAGAATTCTTGGTCACCAGTTTATGTTTCACACTAGTCAGTGAAATGTACACACAAGTTTCTGTATTGACTTGACACAAACAACATGACATTGTGATATTCCTAAGCAAAAAAAACCCTAAAAAATCGTTTTTATTTTGGTTAGAAGTGTCAAAGTCATCATGCAATGTGCATTAAAATTTTGAATATATTGTAAACTATTTTAGTTTTGTTAGACCCCCCAAAAAAGTCTGTGAGTCTATGAAAATTTTGTAGCAGTGCAAAATTTTCTGCTGAGATCCTATGACACAGAGTGGTAGTGACTTTGAGAATTTTTTTTCTTCATGTAAAATCATCAAATTATGAAATTTCATAGCAGTACATATAACATGGGACTCACATTAACCCTTTGAGCACCAAATTCACTATCCTACTTAAATTTGGGTAAATTTGTAAATATTCTGTAATTTTCACTGAATTCAATCTCACAGTTAATTTATAGGACCAGACAAAGCGTGACGTTATAGTTTTTGATCAAAAATTTGAAATTTTCGCAACATGTAGAAAAGAGCAGACTATATTAAAGTAGAACCATTTTGTGGATGGTGCCTGAAGTTGACTTTGGCACTCAAAAAAAGTTGAACACGACTGAAGCTTTGAAGCATCAACGTTATTGTGTTTGATGCGTCTTGTGTGACGTAAACAAAGTATGTACTAAACACTAACTTTATTAAATTGCATGTATATTCTGTGAAGATAAAAATACATTCTATAAATACACTGCTTTTCAACAGTCCTACATTTTAGTACATGGATGAGATTTCATAATAGCTATGGCAGAGAGAATGTCAATAAATCCCCAAATAAGGTATGCAGTCAAAGACTTTGAGCCCCAGTTTTCATATATTTATTTTAAGAATGTCATATTTTTGGTGGAATATTCAACACATTTTTATAATATGTAATTTCAAATAATTTTTAGAAATAGGAATTAATTTTGTACCAAATGCTTCCATCTTGATCAACATTTTTAAGAAATGTGTGAAAATCATTCATTGTTTTTGGAATTCAAAGGGTTATGGGTAATTTGATCGCTATCATTAAAACTTTATCACAGTGAACCATTCAAAAATCGTTGTTGGATGATTTACATACATGCAAATCATTTATATTTAAAGTTTCTACAAAGAAATAAGAATGTGTTTTCAAGAAAACATAGCCTAAGATATGATGGAATGTTTCTGCCATAGGAAACAACTGTTCTTATACATGTATATTCAAAAAACATCTTTGACCAATTTTCGAAGTTGTTTTGTGGAAAACTTTGGTTTGGTGACCATATATTTTTATTTCAGAATTTTGAACATTACAGTAAACCAATTAACCCCTCTTGCTGGACTTTTCTTAGTATGTTATGTTGAATAAAAGAGTGTTTTCATAAAACAACGAAAGCTCACACTGCAGTGATGTACATGAATGGTTTGTTAATATAAGGTCAGACAAGTGCCATTTATTTATTTACACATTTAATGATAACCCATTTACATCAAAGGAATATGAATAATTACATAAAACTTTTAAAGTAATCTACCATGGGGTTTAATCTACCATTTAAACATTCAAAATATAATGTTTTCTGCAGCATTTTTTAGTTCCCATGACAATGTATGTATGTGCATGCAATGCATTATGGGAGAGAACTTCCTCTTGTATACGTTCAACTCATCAAAAATCAGTAAAAATAAACTCCATACAAGAGATGGTGCAATTTAAATTCGGTATAAAGAGCATTTCCTTTTTTTAAAAAAAAGGTACAAAATTTACTTGCACTATGGAGGTGAAAGATTCTTACACACAAATCTTTATGACGGTTGCGATTGATAAAAAGGGCAACCATGGGCAGGATAACTGTTGAGTCAAAAGTTTATTTTCAAGCGATCCGCCATTTCCGGAGGAAGTTGGGTCATGGTTCATGGCATTGTGGGTAACCTCCCAACATGGCTGCACACATGTACACTTGAAAACATTGTTTTCATTTCATTTTATTTTGAAGTTTTCGGTCGCTGTTTAATGAAACACATTGTGTTTTCGGTCGCTGTGCAAACAAATTCACACTAGAACGTTTGAATACAATAACTGGACTGTCCTTTATTTAAATTTGACCTTTAGTAAAGAGTTGCGAAATATAAAATTTGTCAACAACAAACATGATAAGGAAAGTTGTTTTGGTTTTCGCGATTGCCCTTGTGCTTATGTCTAATTTTACTGAAACAACGTTGTCGGGTAAAGACAAGAAGAAGAAGGAAAGTAAGGTGGGTGACTTTGGCGAGTATTGGTTTGGTGGTTGGTTGGTTGGTTTGTTTGTTTGGAGATCAAGGGAAGGAAGGGGGCGTTGGCGATTCATGTACCGTGACCCCTGCCTTGATGTGACTGTGATATGACGTATTTGATTAACATTACAAAATAGTTAAAAAAAAAAATTAACTTATTACTAAACCCAGTTTTCTTATTTGGCTAGATTCGAAATATGAAAACAATTTTCAGAGATTATTTGTCATTATTTGTAATCCTCGATTTGATTGACCTTACAGTACAGACATTTTCTTTTATACAACTTTTGTCCAATCATGGAGCTAAATGTTTCTCAATTTAGTTTTTAACAATTGTTTTTTAACAACAATAAGATATTTTTCTAGACCAAATACCAATCACCAGCTTTCTCTCAAATTCAAATATTTAATAGCAATTGGCTTAATTAAGAAATAAACATGGTCACTGGCCGTGATCGGTCACTGGCCGAGTAGAAATCTGGCCGAGTTCGGTGGTCACCAACATGAATTACATCCATAATGTGTGATTATTCCTTCATGTGCCTTAGTAACTGCGACTACCCAATGAAGGGCATGCTAATTGGATGAAGTTGAACTACATAGTAACTCATTAATACTACTGTACATCGTTTTTGGATAGGTCAATTTGAATGTTATCCATCATTTTGATTTATAAAAAAATAATATTTATAAGACATTTATAACATGCCTAGCTTTATGCCTTACACTGTAATAAAAATAGATTATCATTTTCTCTCGTATTTCGCAGCCTTGTAACGCTGTGGAAGTATGCCCTCACATCAGGGCAGGGTAATAATTTCCTGTATCACGCCAAGCATTCATCAATCAAAACAATACGTATCACTATAAATTGTAATTACACCTATAAGGTGTATAATAAAACCTTTATGGGCTGTATACAGCTTTTGCTGCCCTCTGTCATATAGCTTACACACCCTCGCAAGCTCTGGCGTTCCCATGGCGTCGGGCCGCAAAAGCCGTATCCAGTCCATAAAGAATAATGTCGAAGGGCATTGATCCTTGATGCCTCCATAATGTTCAAGTCTACTAATTACTAATAATAAAAACACTAAAATCAGATCATCATGACACAGCAAAACAAGAACAAATAGAACACTTACGTCATTCATTCTTCAGCCAGCGGTAAAATTATCTGACAAAACTGTTGAAGAAAGAGGTCTGGTTGTGGAGAATGCAAAGACTAAAGACATCATCAAAGAAAATCAAAATTATTGTGAAAAGACAACAGAAGATAAGCAATTTGAAGGAGATACACTTGGATATGTAACTCCTGTAAGTATATTTTATTTGGTATATTTTATTTGTGTTTTAAATCAGTTAAGGATGGACATAGATAACACATTTTAGACACATAAATTTGATGAAAGTATTCTCGGTGTGTATTTGAAAAAAAAAAATCAGGGTATCCAAATTTTGTTTTTGAATTATGCTTCTCAACATAGACAGAGATAGACAGGCAACTGCATGTATTTGCACTGTCTGCAGTCACTTTCCACGGTCTATGGTCTCAGTTATGTGTCTGTTATTCTGTCAAATGCTAAATGGCCCTCAGAGTAGAGCCTGTGAAACTATGAAAAAAAGTCAATAGAAAAATGTTTGGGAACCTTTGTGTTGGTTGGATTGATTATAGTTTGGTTTAGTGTCAGTGTGGTTGCAGGTTTGAGCTATTGCTATGACGACAATAATTTATCTTGTGATATCAGGTGACTTTTACATAAATCTTAAACAAACTTTGATTGAATTGTCTTGACCTGTCTCATGAGACAACAAAAATGCCTTTAAACTACTCGTTACCTAAATAATGTCTAGACATGTCAATTATTTTTTTTTTAGTTGTGACCTTATGTTTGACCTCCGTGCATGTGTGTGCATGTATGTGTCTCCACCAATATCTCTGACATGCTTGGACCAATTACATTCAAACTTCAGACATGAATTATGCATCCTGGGATGAATATGCATTCATTTTGTGGTCATTTCAACATGGACGATTCTTGAGCTAAAAATTCATCAAAATCAAGCATTTCTGTCACTCTGGAACTGGATCTTGGTAATGGTCATTTATTCGTGTTGCGCAATTATTTTTAAATATTTTTTTTTTGCTCTTGTATATAACTTTGAATATTCGCTATCATGCGCATTTCCCCCTTCATTTAAATCTCACGATTTCGCAAGACTAGTGTAAGTAGTTTTGATAAAATAAAACAGAAATTGACTTTCAAACCTCTGACATGCTCTGATCGCTCATGTGCAAACTTTGTATCTTAAACATTAGAAATCTAGGGACTATGCATATGGCATTTTCAGACATTGAAGTCACTGGTGTCTCTCTGGCTGTAATCGTTAGTCTCAATCACTGACTACTATGCAAGCAGTTGTCATTAGCCTGGAACCAGTGACCACTATGTTAGCTGTGATAATGTAAGACATTGGTCTGATTCAATGACCAATGTGTGAGCTATGTTCACCTGTCCGAATCAGTGACTTCTATGTGAGCAGTGTTCATTAGTCTGAGTCATTGACCACTGTGCTAGCAGTGTTCTTTAATCTGAATCAATGATACTGTCTTAGTAATGTTCATTAATCTGATTCAGAGATCACTATGCTAGCAGTGTTCATTAGTCTGAATCAATGATACTGTCTTAGTAATGTTCATTAATCTGATTCAGAGATCACTATGCTAGCAGTGTTCATTAGTCTGAATCTATGATACTGTCTTAGTAATGTTCATTGGTCTGATTCAATGACTACTATGCTAACAGTGTTCATTAGTCTGAATCAATGACAACTGTGTTAATAGTGTTCATTAGTCTGAATCAATGATAACTGTGTTAGTAGTGTTCATTAGTCTGATTCAGTGATCACTGTGTTAGTAGTGTTCATTAGTCTGATTCAGTGATCACTAGGCAAGCAGTGTTCATTAGTCTGATTCAGTGATCACTGTGTTAGTAGTGTTCATTAGTCTGAATCTATGATAACTGTGTTAGTAGTGTTCATTAGTCTGATTCAGTGATCACTATGCTAGCAGTGTTCATTAGTCTGAATCATTGATACTGTTAGTAATGTTCATTGGCAGTGTTCATTAGTCTGAATCAGCGATCACTATGGTAGCAGTTTTCAATATTCTGATTCAATGACCACTACATGTATGTTAGCAGTGTTCATTAGTCTGAATTTATGATAACTGTGTTAGTAGTGTTCATTAGTCTGAATCAGCGATCACTATGCTAGCAGTGTTCATTAGTTGGATTTAATGACTACTGTGTTAGGCTAGTAGTGATTATTAGTCTGAATTAAATGCTTTCCATTTCCATGTCTATCAAATCTATTATATTTCACCTCTTCTTAAATTTATTGAAAATATGTTTCACTTGATTTTTTTAGTGGAATAACCATGGTTACGATGTTGCTAAAATCTTTGGTAATAAATTCAGCTATATTTCTCCTGTATGGCTGCAAATAAAAGCAAAACCAGGTGGTGGATATTTCATTCAAGGTGGACATGATATTGATCAAGGTTAGTACAGTTGTACCAGGGAGGATGATTTAATAGGTGATTTTCCGAACAATTGCGTGATCTCGCGAGATGCATGAAAGACACGCGTCGAACGTCTGCCGCAAAAATTGAACGATTTGATTTTGAACTAGAATTTATTTATTTCGCAGCTTACATTGACCGGCCGATCTTCGACAGAGGAATATTGCTTCCGAATACCCTTACTTCATCAAAATTGCCTATCATCAAATGTGAACAGCACATTATTAAGCATGGAAATGTCCCCGAAATACTTTCGCGTTTGTCGAATCCCACGCGATGTTTGACGCGACTACGACACTATGACCTTTGTTTGTCCTGTTTTTACGTTCGATTTCACGCATAACGCGTGATTCTCGCAGTGTACGGAAAATGGTCTATTGTGCTGCCCTGTATCATTGAAACAGTTCTCACTTCGTACTAATTCAGCGTTGTTATGGTGAACATGCAATCCAATTTCCCAATCCTCACTTATAGAATTGCATTCCTTTCTCAATCCACCATTTTTCAGATTAAATTTTACTAGTTTCTAATTCTGTTTTTCTTTCTTATAATACTTGTGATTGTTATTGACAGAGTTTATGTATTACAAATATGTGATATATATATATATATAGATCTCATTTTAGGAGAATGTGCATATGATAAGTTCTATATAATAATAATAATAATAATAATAACAGAGGTACATTACTTGGGGTTTGCAACGCGCATAGTACTGTATGGTGACATCATGCCAAGATCCCATTCAAGTCTCATCTCGTAGATAGCGAGACTGATGTTACGACCTTCTGACATGACATAGGCAGTTTGTAATAAAATAATAAAACATGTATAACCACATTCATAGTGAAAAAATGTAATACATCGTAAATGTACAGAAAATATAGTTATCGTAATCCGTCATATCGTGAGCAGCTATTTTGATCCACCTGGACATCCCAGTATCCTAGTTACCTCGGGCATGCGCATTCGCATTTTTCTGAGTTGGAACGCTTATGCGAGAGCGAAATTGAAACGGGATCTTGGTATCATGTCACCGTAGTTGTAAACCCCAAGTAATGTACCTCTGTAATAATAATAGTAATAATAGTACATTTAATAATGTAAAGTATAAAGCATGCCCACTTAGATATTTATGATATCCGAGGCCACGAAGTTCAAAGATGATGTGACATTTATGTCCTCGTTTCTTTTCAGGCTGGGTAGCTGATGTCAAAAAGAAAGGGGAACGAAAAGTTAAAATTTGTAAGTCAAGTAATTCATGTCTATTTCTATTTAAGGTTGAAGCCTACTCATAAATTATAAAACCCAGAATTTATTCATTTTGCAATAAATTATACTCCAAGGCAATATAAGGATATTGACCTAAAAAAGGTTAGGGGTCACCAGCCTTTTACCACAGGTTCCTATGGCAGAGATATTATGCAAAAATCTAGCCTGTACCATGAGACATTACCTTCATGATTGTACTTAATAAACTAATGAATATTGTCATGCGATTTATGACCAATGTGTCAAAAATAATGAGTAGGCTTCTACCTTGAATATATGTTTAGCAAAACATGGAATTAGAAACTATTTACTAATCTAGCATACTGTCAACTACTTAATTATCGCTGTGAGGAATTTTTGCGTTTTTTTATGACCAATGTGTCAAAAATAATGAGTAGGCTTCTACCTTGAATATATGTTTAGCAAAACATGGAATTAGAAACTATTTACTAATCTAGCATACTGTCAATTACTTAATTATCGCTGCGAGGAATTTTTGCGTTTTTTTTGTCATTTGTGAAGATAAAATTTTGCGAAAGTCACTGATTGACGTTCTGTTTTATAGGATCCTGAAAACTTTCATTGCAACAAAATTACACAATTTACTTTGATTCATGAAATTAGAGAGGTTTACCATTATATTTGTGTTTTTTTTAAAGTTTTTTGTGCTAGGTTCCGGATATTGAATGTCACTGTTGTCTCTCCTGACTTTTTTTTGTATGTGCAAATTGCAAGTGCAAGTGCTGACACATAGTGCATTTTTGCCACAGAAGTCATATTCATGTTTGGGACTACATGACAGGGCTGTGTGGCTATCTCCCTATCAAATGGCAATTTTAATGCGCTATCCTGGCATCAACCAGGCTCGGTCGAACACAAACAGCTGCGGACTTTAACCAAGGTTTCCCCAAAGTCGCATTCGTTAGTGAATGAATCTCGGCCAGTGGAATTGGCCTTCCCATTGAGTCTGTGGCACACTCACCCAGGGTAGGGGTCGACCTTTTTGAGGTTCAGCCTAAGGTAGGATTTGAACCTGGATCTACCACAAGGCTACCAGTGACCGGTTTACCATTATATTACAATGGCTGCAACAATAATAAAAATATTTCAACAAAACGTCCCACATAAAAGTTTATATATGGTGAACATATATGCAATGTATGTAGTTAATACTAATGGGGAAGTTTGATATTGTAAATATTTATCGCAGATAATAATATACATATTTTGATTCTTACTAATTCTCTATCTTCCCCAACATCCTCAGGTACTTTTCTGGATTCTTGTAATTTAATTTCAGTATGGTTTGTAATTTAAATCATTGTCAGGAAGCTTAGGATGTTAAAAGTAATTGCTTGCAGAGTTGTAAATATCTGCATATATCGTTTACATTTCAAAATACTCTCAATCGGTGAGTGAACATAGTCACCAAAATAAGTTCTTTGTACCTGTCAGTTCTATCAATAACACTGGAAGCATTAAAATTAAATAATGGAATTTAATAGAACATTGTACATGTAATTGTTTGATTGGCAGACGCCCTCTATAGTTCAATTTTCCAATCCATGGTCTTTTGTAAAATCCAACATGGCGGAAACACATTTCTGACCTATTGTTTGATATGAGTTACTAGTATTGGATATTTACTTGTCATCAGCATTGTTTGTTATTGACACAAATGAATCTGATATTGTAGAGTCACTCATGAGATATTTTCTCTCTATACATGTTGAATAACATGATGTATTTGTTATTTTTCACATGATCCAACATTTTTCCCACTTGTTTTAGGATTAGAATTATTTAGCTCTTTCTGTGCTGTTAGAATTAGAATCTTTTACTAGCAGTGCACATTTAAAATGGCAATCTGACTATCGGGTTGACCGTTTGAAACATCGTAGTTGACTGGAAGAGTTTGACCACTGCAGTATTTATTTGTGGCGTCTTATTCGTATATTTGCATTTTTTCTTCAATGTGCCAACATTTTACCTTCAACACCTTGTATGCAGTGTTATTTTGTAAATTCTACCTTGCAATTTTTTTTAACAAATCTTCCAGTCACTCCCTATGTTTTTTAAATGGTTGATTCCTATGCACCTGTCTGTCATTTTGTAATTTTCTTTAATGTGAACATTTTTAACTGTCAAAATTATGATTACTGTTTCATTCCAAAATGCCATACATTATCGAACAATGTTTCTTTTATCTTTTGAGCAGCACATTTATTCCCATGCAAAATGGGGTGAATTTTCTGGGATGTGCACTGAATTCAATCTTAATTTTGGATCAAAATATTGGAACTTTTTGCAACATTTCAATGTCTACTACAGACAAAATAGAGTTACTGGTTCATGTACTTTAGTTTTAGAAAACAAATTTCTGGCCTAATTTATTTGTTCTTTTTCAGTGCCTAGGTTACTGTTTGATGGATGGAGTCAACAAGATTACAAAGGACTATTTTCAAAAGAAGATAATATGCAAAAACTTGCCAAAACTGTTGTGGAGTTTCATAAAGTAAGAACTTAGATTACAGCAGATATAGAAAGAAAGTACTCAAGATGATCTCCTTTTGTGACATTTGACATTGTTTTTTGGTCACTATAGAAACTGTGAGGAGATCCAGCTTTCTTCATTTCATCGTTATTTCATTATGTGTATGATATCAAAAATGGAAACAAAAATGTTGCTCCATGACATGGGATGAAAAAGTTGTATATTATTATTGATATGCAATGTATATGACATCATGCAAAATTAATTTACTGAGTTTCCCGTTGATTATAGTTTTACATTATATTCAATGAGAAGTTCTCTCCCATAATGAATTGCATATATGTGTTGTAACATGCTTTGTAGTGCAAAATTTGAATTCGTCTCAGATTACTTTAATTTAAATATTTCAGTTTCCCTATAAATAAATTTTGATCTTGTGAAAAAGCATGGTTCGAAGTATTACTTTGGGCACAGCCTCTCTGAAAATCTTTATTACAAACCGTGGCTTCTATTAAAATGGTACAATGAATAGAGAGGATGTAGCTTATATTAGAGCAACTACACGTATGAAAAATGAAGAATTTTTGGTTCTCAATTGTTCAAAAAAGAATGGGTGCGACTTCTATTAGGGATGCGGCCTTTAATACAGATTTCACAGTAGTCAGCCACTCAGTCAACTAATCGCCTCGCTCGTTTGCAACATTGTCAGCTGTTTCACAGAATGGTTTAGTGTATGTGATTTCAAAACACAGGTGGTATGTTGAAATCACGTGCAATCACAGCAAAGCCAACCCAAACGCTACTATATTCCTCAGAATCTTCAAAATTATGCGATTGACCAAATAATATCTAGTCTCTGTATCTGCTTTAAGGGGACTGAAAAAAAAATAGAGGGGTAGGGGCTCTAATGTTGGTGCAAGCATTAAAGGGAGGACTAAGTATCATGGTTTCATTTTCATAGCAAAAGTAGTGAAATTAAAACCCAGTGAAAAGTTAATTTGTTTATAGTAAATTTCTCATAGGGCTTGTCAATAATTGTTTCATATCACTCTTTTCATGAATGTAGAAAGAAAAATTTGATGGAGTTGTTTTAGAAATTCTCAGCCAAATGCAGGGACAGAAAAAGGAGTAAGTACTGGGGGCAATATTTTTATTCTGTGGTACCCAATTCAACTTTTAATGTTTGTGTTCTTACAAAACCTCATCCTGCTCATAATGCGCCCTCTATAGTCTATACATGTAAATATAAAAATACGAGATCTCTACCAAGATATGCTATTTATTCTTTTGTTTTTAAGGCAGCAACAGTAAAACGTGTACTCTAAAAGTTATTAAGCGTATTAGTATAACAAACTATATATCACCTGAAAGCTTACACATAGACAAATACAGTAGGGCATATGCTGTACCAATGTTCAGGACGACCATACCTGACAGCCAGTTTTGCTGTTGTTCCTTCTTTACTATTCCAACTTCTTGTTATTTGAAGTATAATCAACATAAATATTGGTAAACTCTCTCCCCGTTAAACAATATGCAAAACAAAATTATTTTGCCATCATTAAGACACTTTTAGTATCTTTGAATGCAGACATTTGTTGCAACAAATTCTTAAAAAATATATGTTCAACCAGCTGACTAATTTTAACACTCTTTGAACTTTCCAAAATGAAACATTGCAGTTTTTTTAATCACAACGTATTGGAACGAAATAAATCATAGTTCCACAGGGAGAAATATAACGCAGAATAGTGATAGGTACTGTCGAAATGTCAAATACCTGAAACTTAGTCATAAAATGGGTTTCATTCTTGCCAAAAATATAAAAATCTTGACCAAATCACTGTGGTCGTATCCTCGAGGGCGGACATCCGGGCATTTTCTACCGCCTGGCAACCCTCGCGGTGAAAACAAAGACCAAAAACTTGGAGAAAACAGTACTTTGCGATGGTTGTTCAGAGTCCCCTGAACAGTGTAACAAGATTAGCCCTACGTGTGTAGCATATATGAATTTGGTTGTTCAGGATTACTTCAAAGTTGAGTTTGTGTTGTTTTCTCGAGTTTTCACCGGCTCCACCGGCGTTCCACAGCAGCGCGCACAAAGCCCATAGAAATACGTGGTACAGTGGTGCGCGTCTTAGCAACGTAGAACGTCCGTGACGTAGCTCCGCCCCCGAGGATAGCCAAAAAAGTGACCACACTTCGTGAATTGCCATTACGAGCATTGTCCCACTAATTCAGTTTATTGACACCTTAAACAATAAGTGCATTCAAAATAGGGATAGCAGGACTGTGTTATATCTAAACTTTCAGATAATAGATAGGTTGTTATAGTAGCGTGCTTTTTTTAGTAACTTTTGATAAATGTCTTTAATAATCACAGTTCAAAAACTTTTTCGTTCATTTCAAAATTTCTTGTTTTGTGTGAAATCATACGAAAACACAGACAAACAAAGGTCCTAATATTAATGGTGTTTGAATATATACATGGGATTTATCAAATGCAAAAGTATTTCCATGCTCAATAATGTGTTTTGTGTACTTGTTGGTCTGTCGCCATCTTTGTTTATATGAGACCCATATTTTGTGCATGGGTGGTGCAGCGACCACCGCTCTTTAATATTTTAGTTTATGTAATAGTTTTTATAAATCCTTGATCATGGCCATGTTGTACAGTCTGAATAAAAAAAAACAATTCACCAAGGCCAATAAGAATTGAAAATGCAATCTTGAAAAAATTGTTCAGTTCACTGAGAATCTTGATATTTAGATGTGTTTTATAGATGATAATAAATGTGTTTTATTTATTTAACAGAGATGCTATCCATCTGATTGCTGATATGGCAGATGCCCTGCATGAAGAAAATATGAAATTTATTTTAGTTATTGCACCACCAGTTACTCAAGGGTAAGTATTTACTTAAAGACCATACACTCAAACTATAGTTTTGTTGACACAGACACATTCAC